TTGAAGTCTGGAGAAGCGAATTGATTGAGGTTGAGAAATTGGCAGAAAAGTCTTGTAGATCAGCTTGGAAGTGTACATATTTCATAGATCAGTCTTCCATGTGTAAATGAGAGCGTTGAATCTCGCAGAAAAAAAGCGGGCCCCCACCATCCCGCATCAATTCTTTCCTCTGGACTTTGACCGATACAACCAAGTCCGTTCTTGAGTAACCGTGTCAGTGGCAAACAGCCGTACCTGAGAGAAAAGATCAATCAAACCAAATCTACCGGTCTGCCTGAAAAATGGCAGCTTCCTCGGAGTAAGTGCAGTCCGGAGATACGTCATTCCTAGGGTAATGCCAACCAAGAATTTCAAAACAGATCTAACACAAACCAGGCAAGTTGATCCAAGCCTAAACGGCCACTTAGATCTAGTGAACTGGTTCATCCAGCATGGTGGCACGATCGACAAGAGCGTCCGCATCGCACAAGATGCCTTGCGCGGCGTGCACTTGCAAGTGAGAGCCGATTGGCCAGAAGCCATCCCGAAAGAGACCCGGGTAATTAACACACCAATTGAAGTGTCAATGTCCTGGTACAATGCCATTGGCTACGAGTCATCACGGGGCTCATTCCCCAAACACGGCGTGGATCTTCCGCGGACATGGATCGATGAGGTCGGGCCGGAGGAAACTTTTGCCTTCTTCCTCATGGCACAGTATCTACGGGGCCCTGAGGGGTTCTGGTATCCGTATCTTCGTACCCTGCCCCAACCGGGGCAATTGACCACCCCTTTGTTCTTTGGGGAGGAGGATGTAGATTGGATTCAAGGCACTGGCATTCCTGAGGCTGCTGTTGAGAGGATTAAGATATGGGAGGAGAAGTATGATTCAGGATATCTTCAGTTGGGTGCAACTGGATTCCCAGATTGTGAGACGTATACGTGGTAAGTATGAAATACTGCTATGATCTGTCCAGTTATGCAGCCTGAGGAAACATCATGCTGATTTGTATACAGGGAGCTGTATCTCTGGGCTTCAACTATCATCACCTCCCGGGCGTTCTCGGCAAAGGTTCTATCCGGGGCTGTCCAGCCTGGCGATCTTCCGGAGGATGGAGTCTCAGCACTCCTTCCGCTCATCGACCTTCCAAACCATCGACCAATGGCTAAGGTTGAGTGGCGAGCGGGTGATAAGGATATTGGCCTTCTGGTGCTTGAAGACCACTCAGCAGGCCAAGAAATTTCAAACAATTATGGCCCTCGTAATAATGAACAATGTATGTACAGCGTTGGCCACGTCGTGATGATCAAGCTTTTTAAAACATTTTGAATCCTTACAGAGACTGACTATAACCTAGTGTTGATAAACTATGGATTCTGCATTGCCGGCAATCCAACCGATTATCGCATTGTTCATCTGGGTGTGAAGCCCGACAGCCCGCTCGGCGCAGCCAAGGCTCGCCAGCTAGAACTGTTCCCTCAGGTTGCGAAGAATATTGAGGACCATTATTACATCTTCAATCCGTTTTACCCACTACTGGCCCCCGAGACAACGATGGAGCACTCGGTCTTCTCACCGGCACTGTTCAACGCATTGACCGTCATGGAATCAAACACGCGCGAGCGCAAATCGCTTGAGATCACTGAAGACTGTATTCGCATTGCCCCAGGATATGGAAACAGCCATAGTGTCTATGCTGCCCTTGCTCAAATTAGCTTTGAGCTGATGGCTCACGCTGCAAACCTGAAAGCCAGTGGGGAGCATCTGCCTTTGCAACCAACAACCCTGAACCAGACCCACTCTCAGATCTACCGCAATGGACTGATAACATTAGATCAGGCTGCCTTGGTTATTGCTACTTGGACTATCCTACGTGGCAGGGAACACAAGCACGGTGAAAGTTGGGAGGATACCAAGATCCTTCTGCATGAACTGATGGCACGCGTCCCGGCCGGTCTTCTCTCAGACGATGTCATATCCCGGATCCGAGTTCGTATCCTAGAGCGTCCGTCACTTATCACTAAAAACGGTGAGCTGTTCAGACTAGGCGAGCTTTTTAGCCTTCTCCCGGCTGGAATGCAGGAGCCAGCTCAGACATGCTTCCAGCATGCCCTCGGAGTGGCGAGCCAAACCGTCCCGAGTTTATCCACCGATCCACAAACTATGTTTGCAACGGTTATTTGCTTGCTAGTTGCAACATACAATTCGTCAGAGGCACGGTCAAGATTGTCTTCGCGTCTCAACCGATGGTTTACTTTCCTGCTTGAGCAATACCCTCCCCCTTCTGACACTTCCAGATCCATTGAGCCCGGAATGGACGAAGCTAGTGAAACAATACGTCAGTTCCAAGAATATGCTAAGACCGTACAACCGAGCTCATGGGCACCTGGTGATGGAGCTAATTGGCTCACCGAGGCTAATGGGTGGTTAGACTCAGAGTGGCTTCAATGGGCATGGACAGTGGCTGGCTCGGAAATGGTGATGATTCCCCTTGAGCCATTTGAGATCCTCAAGATGGAGGGATCACTTTCTATGTTGAAGCAGGCATGCGTTTATGTGCCACAGGAATAAATAATGAGATTGTGGGCATGGAAATGAAAAAGTTATTTACTGTTCGGCCAGCTTGTTTTGTGTCCATTGTCTTAGCTCTCCAGACTTGGAAAAATAATTTTAACAGAACAGATCGCCATGAGCATTCATTTAAAATGGAAACTTGAAGATGTGCTAGAGAAGCAGGCTTCTAAAAGCGGCGGTGCCTTGATGTATACAAAGTCACGTGGTTCAGCATTATTGAGGTCGCTATGATCAAATCTGGAATACTTACTCAGCAGGTTGATCACGTGTTGCACTGCCACCCAATCATATCGAGCCCAAAGGCGGATCATTCAGCAAGCGCAGGAATTGCCGTGAGCTCCACGACTCCCTTCCCTCCTTCTCCACGACCTTTTGACCCTCACCACGCATTGTCACCCCCGCCGTCATCATGATATCCAGAGCGGCGGCTCCCTCCACCTCTTCCCTTTCTCAACTCTCGACCCGCTCCCTCCGCGCCCAGGGGGCGGCCGCCCGCTCCTTCGCATCTGTGTCGGAGGCACCTCCCGTGAAGCACTATGGCGGACTTAAGGACCAAGATCGGATCTTCACCAACCTTTACGGACACCATGGAACCGATTTGAAGTCATCAATGAAATATGGTGACTGGTACCGCACCAAGGACATGATTTTGAAGGGTGATGATTGGGTGGGTTGTCGCACAATTGACGGGCAAGGGAATTATCAATTGCTAATGCCATGAACAGCTCATCTCCGAGATCAAGGCATCTGGCCTCCGTGGCCGCGGTGGTGCTGGTTTCCCTTCAGGATTGAAATACGTAAGTGGCCTACACGCAATTCGGACGAACGCGAGTGTTTTGGAATACCCGGGCTGATCCGCTGCTCAACAGTCCTTTATGAACTTTAAGGATTGGGACAAGGACCCTCGCCCTCGTTACCTGGTTGTCAACGCAGATGAGGGTGAGCCCGGTACTTGCAAGGACCGAGAGATCATGCGAAAGGACCCCCAGAAGCTGATCGAGGGTTGCTTGGTGGTGGGTCGTGCTATGAACGCCAACGCTGCCTACATCTACATCCGTGGCGAGTTCTACCACGAAGCTACTGTTCTCCAGCGGGCTATCAACGAGGCCTACGAGGCCGGCCTGATCGGCAAGAACGCCTGCGGTACTGGATATGACTTCGATGTGTACATTCACCGAGGAATGGGCGCCTACATTTGTGGTGAGGAGACCTCTCTCATTGAGTCAATTGAGGGCAAGGCCGGCAAGCCCCGCCTCAAGCCCCCCTTCCCTGCCGCAGTCGGTTTGTTTGGTTGCCCCAGCACAGTCACCAACGTCGAGACCGTTGCTGTGACGCCGACCATCATGCGCCGTGGTGCCAACTGGTTCTCTTCTTTCGGCCGTGAGCGTAACGCCGGTACCAAGCTCTTCTGTATTTCCGGTCACGTCAACAACCCCGTCACAGTAGAGGAGGAGATGTCCATCTCGCTGCGAGAGCTGATCGAGAAGCACTGTGGAGGTGTCCGCGGTGGTTGGGACAACCTGCTCGCCGTTATCCCCGGTGGCTCGTCTACTCCCGTCATCCCCAAGTCCGTGGCCGACAACCAGCTCATGGACTTCGACGCCCTCAAGGACTCCCAGACCGGTCTGGGTACAGCTGCTGTCATCGTTATGGACAAGTCCACAGATATCGTCCGCGCCATCTCTCGCCTGTCTACCTTCTACAAGCACGAGTCTTGCGGCCAGTGCACCCCCTGCCGTGAGGGAAGCAAATGGACCATGCAGATGATGCAGCGTCTCGAGACCGGAAATGCCCGCGAGCGCGAAATCGACATGCTCCAGGAGCTCACCAAGCAGGTCGAGGGTCACACCATCTGCGCTCTGGGTGAGGCCTTCGCCTGGCCTATCCAGGGTCTGATCCGCCACTTCCGTCCCGAGCTGGAGGCCCGTATCCGTCAGTACGAGAAGGAGCTTGGCGCTGCCCCCTACGCTGGTGGCTGGCACCCCAACAGCCGTGCTGAGGGTAAGCTGATCTCCCCTGGCATGTAAACACATCTTTCACCTTTCATTTTTCCATGAACAATCCCTTTTCTCTGTTGGTCCCTTAAAAAGAAGCAGGAACGGGTCGGGGATGATCATCACATCTAGACCACTCTTATATCTCCCTCTCCCCGGCCGGTAATGTCTTTTGTTTCTTGTTTGCCTGGTCCGGCCGGGGAGGGCGGTGTTTCTCTTTTCTTTACTCTGCTCGATCCCCTCGTGTTTCTCTATCGCGCCCAGGTTTCCCTTTCTTGTACAGTCGGTAGCAAATTTGATGCATTTGATGTCTTCATTCGTGCTATGAAGCATGTTCCCATTTTCTCAATTTCCATCCAGTTAATCCTATGCTCACAATCGACGATCGGAAGCAGTAGCAACAAAGTCTTACCGCCTTAGAATAGCTCAGCGATGATCTTCCGTGTTTCGCTTCACTGATTTAAGAAAGTGTCAGTTCTTTCAGTGACACCGGCTTTAGCACCAGCAACATGGGTATCTTTCTGTTCTCTCTCATCGGAATTTCTCTCAACCTGAATCTCCGCGGCTCTCGCCTCCTTCTCCACCTTCTTCCGTTCGATCTTCAGCAACCTCTTCTCTCTCCAGCCCATCCCGTACACGTTCTCAACCCAGAGCAACCCCAATCCTGCAGCCATGACTAACCCCAAAAAACAAAGCACCAACCCCACCCCATGCCACTCAGCATCTGGCTGATAACAGCGGCCCCAACAGCGCCAAGACAGCAGCGAACAAAGTTGCATGCCGATGCAGCTGTGGCAGGCTGGTCTGGGAACAGGTCGACAAGAAGAGTGTTAAGGCAGTTTAGGGATGCAACGAAGCAGAAGCCTATGATGAACTGCAATACCAGTGGGGCAGCTAAGTGTGCTCTTTGCTGTAGGACCCAGCCATATGGGATGAATGCTGCAACGCCGATGGTCATTGCTGGGAATACTGTTTGCAGGCGAGTACGCTCGATTGGAAAATTGCGCAAGTCGTCTCCTTTCTTCCGATCGATCGAGAATCCAAGCTTCTGGGCTGTCCGCTTGTAATTGTAGTCAATGACTTTCCCATATAGGACTGCGCCGAGGCAAGAGCTTACCCCGAGGGGCCTGTGAGTTTGGGTTAGTCAATAGAGAACTGGTTTTTGATAGATAAAAAAAGGGAAAGACTGGAATTTACAAGAAACATAGACCAATCTGGAGCTCGTTGAATCCGTACAGTGGACCAAAGAGATTGGGAGTGCTTGTCAACAGAGCGATGTTGGAGAACATGACAATGCCGGCGTACGAGATGATGATCAAGGCATCCCACTCCAGCATAATGACGAAAGACCTGAGAGGATTCGGAAACCTAAGTCGTTCAGTACTCCGGAAGTGCTGTTGTGATTCTTCTGCACCACTTTGCCCATCCTCATCCGACTGTGCCTGCCTCTTTAACCACCACTGGATGACCGATCTGCGCCACCACTCATTTGGTATTGCACGGCCGTTACCAACAATCTTGCGCGCCGTCTCTGGCATAGCAAGCACAAATAACACTAAATATCCTCCACTGATAACGACCAGGAACCAGAAGACACTGCGCCAGCCGAGAAATTTGGCCAAAAGACCACCAATCACAGGGCCCAGCGCAGGCGCAACCATAACACCTGCTGCCATGGGCCCGATATACTTCCCACGCTCTGCAGTCGTCGTAATATCCGCCAAAACGCCATATCCAAAAGCCACGGTGCCGCTGCTACCTGCGCTCTGGAGACAGCGGAGGACAAGCAACGCCGCGAAACTGTTCTGCAACGCCAGCCCGATGTTGGCAGCGGTGTATACTACAAATGCAATGATGTACGCTGGACGTCTGCCCCCGGCGTCGGCAAATGTGCCCATGAAGCTCGGTGCCAGGCCTTGGAAGATCATGTACGCTGTGATAGTGAGGTTGATCAGCTCTGGGGTGAGGTGGTAATTCTGTACTAATGTTGGCATGACGGGGTAGTAGATTTGGCCGGAAAGAGGGGAGAAGAACGAAGCAAGAGTCACCATAACCACGATGAACAACTTTTCGTATTTCCCGAATGCCGAGAACGATGGCTGGAATTCATCCAGTGCTGTTTCTGTGGTGTTGATATGTGGTCCTGTAGCTGGCGGCGAGCCTGAGTCCTCAGCAGCAGCTTCGGGCTGATGATGGGCATTGTTAGCATCGCCGGATGATGCATTTGTGGCTGGAGCTGCAACTGGGACTTCAGTAAAACCAGGGCCATATCCACTATCGACTCTCCTTATATTGCGTTCTGCCGGGGCGTGCTCAAAGGGACCAGGTACTGTCACGGGACTCCCCCCACGAGTTCCTTCTGGACTCTGTTGGGGCTCCATGATAAGTGAGGTATAGTAGTTGAGATCAAACAATAGCAAATCGAGATGGGGAGATGGAAAGGAAAAGAGGGAGAGAGAGGTAAGAAGCACATTGTAGCTCTTTTCGTAACAGTGTTGTTGGCACCTTCCCCAAATTGTTTGCACAACGGACACTTCAACCTGCTACTTTGCACAACCTGACATACCACACGGTCGAAGCTTGAGGGAAAGCTCCGTCAATGGCCTGGTTTTCTACAAGATGTAGAAGGTACAGCTCAGCTCTGGAATTGACAGGCTATTGAAGCCCCACCCTCCCCGGCAAGAACAGCGCGAGAATGAGGATATAGTGGACGTCGGTGATGAGCATGGCGTACAACCTTGGTTCTAACACTCGGTTGACTCTATGGAAGAAATTCGAAGTGCCCAATCCATAACAGTTTGGCAGATTTCAAATCACTCGTTCATCGTTTTGTCAACATCGAAATTGCGGAGATGAGCGCGGCGTACATGAAGAGGGACCAGGAGCTCAAGGTTGTCGGGGAATTGAAGGTGCCACTGATTAGCGAGCACCGGCCCGGATACACAATGTCGGCCTCAATGAACTACAACTTTGAACCTGGCTTGCTCAACCCCTAAATGCAGGATACGAACTATGTGTGTGGGCTTTTGGGCACATACGAAAGGACAGTTTTCATGCGGCAGTGACTGGCGAACGGGGTATGGAAGATGGTATATTCTCCTGCGATGGAGGCATATCATCGCCAGTTGCTTCGGTCAGGCGATGCTTCTGCATGTTGCTAATGTGGCATGTGGAAAGCCTAATTCACAGTTGTACGCACTTCTCATATGGCGCCATTCTTACCACCAGAGGTCTATCCATTTCGGATATTCACACATTCTAAATTCTGCGGCTAACATCAATAAGAGGGAATACATCTAGAAAAGGGATATGATAAGGCTGCATAGGTGGGTGGTCGACCAATTTTGAGGTTATGAATGTACGGACTAGCAATGTGAAGATGGTCAACATCGACGAACATGTCACTGTTCAGAGCAAGGAAGATTAGGATCTACCTAGAGGACTAAAGGATATATACGAGCACATTTACCAGATTCTCTCCAGAACCGATGGAAGGGGAGTATTCACCAGGATATTCTCGTCCACATTCAGCAGCTCCAGTTTCGTCTACTACCACTTCGAGTTTCCATGACAGACATCCCGAGATGCGAGCACAGTGAAGCACAGCGTAGACTCGTGATGGTTTCTATTCCGCTCGTACTTGGGAGTTGCAAACAATGAGCAGAGCCACATGTGATTATAAGAGTACGACTACGAACTATGGACATTCTTTTCTGCGACAATGTCTACAACAAAGAAAAAGAATAGAATGAATTGGTTCAAATAGGGGTTCAGCAATAGGGTAGAGTACAATACATGTCATGGGAACCATTTGAGATCATTTGGGGGACAGAACACAGAGAGAGAGTAAAAAAAAAGTGCAAAACCAAGAGAAAAAAAAAGGATCAGATGTGCTTGGGCTTTGGATAGTTAGTGCCCGCTAATTCCACAATGAACATTTGCAAACTGGAACATGATTTCCTTTATGTCCTCAAAACTTAATAGCCACCGGCCATAATGACGCCGTAGTACCGACGGCTCATTTCAGCGGTCTGCAAAATGCGAGCGTCGCCTGTCAAGGGCAGGCCCAGGACAGCGGAGGATTCAACAGACTGTAGAAAAAAGGAAGTCAGCAATGAACATAAACAAGTAATCGACGGAAAAGGGAGAAGGGAGCTAACATGAACATCCTCGTGCGTAATCCAGCCAGCGACAGCTCGGCTCATCTCCTTAAATGCAACACGCTCCTCCAGTCCTTCCAAGCTGGACCCCTGGACACGATCACCCATGGCAACAAGAGCGTTCACCAAGCGGTTCAGACGAGTTGGATCACGTCGGCCGCTGGTGGAGTTGACCAGACGGAGGAAATCTTCGTAGACACCGCCACCAGAAGACCAGCCGCGCATTTTACGCTCGGGTGCGTCGCCGAAGCCAGAGACCAGAGCTTCGAGGGTGCGGTAGTCACCCTCGATGATGGTGCTTGGACCGACGATGCGACAGAATGTGGCATGGGCGTCGTTCCAGTGCTTGCCGCGAATGAGACAGTCGACTTCACGGGCAGCGTCACCGATGTCACGAGCATGCAGGGCCTTGGCAACCCAGATCCAGGCCTCGGGAAGCTGGAGCTCGGTAATGAGATATTGCCATGCCGGATGGGAGGAGCCGTCGGCAGCGAAGGGTTCGGGGAGTTGAGCGGCGAACCGGGCGAGAGTTTCCTGGACGGCGCGCTTGCGGTCGTTGGCTTGGGAAAGGTGCAAGAGGACAAACAGTGCTTGATCGAGTTTACCGCCTGCACTAAGTTCGGAAGCGAAATCCCAGACGAGCTGATCGGCTTGATGTTGGTCGATTTTGATGGCCTGGTTTGGTCCGACCGTTGCAGTGAGAACGTGGTGTAGCTGGAAGGAGAGTCGGTTGGAGAGACGGTCACCGGAAACGGATTCGGGGAGGAAAGATGCCGGGAATTGAATGGGTTGGGTGCCATGGCCTTGGATCACTGAGAAGGCTTTGAGCAGAACCCAGAGAGGAGATTCACGGCCAAGAGTATCAAAGCCAGGCTTTAGAACTGCACGTGTACTAGCGTGGTGCGATGGGTGAGGGAAAGCGGGTTCTTGTCCGGTGGTCAAGTCCTCAAGGAACTTGGATACAGCCACCTCAATTGGCTCATCTTCGGCAGTGCAATACCACAGACGAAGACCGAAGGCCTGGAACCAATCAAGATCGAACCGTTCAGTGAAGCCAAAGCTGGAGGCCCGGTCTTCAAGCGCACCACCTGATTTGCCCTCGCTGCGGAGAGCGTTTCCTGCAACCAGTTCGTACAAGGCTCGTGTGGGTTCACTGATCTCCGAGAGGATATTGTTCTGACGCCATACATCGATCTGATTTGCGATGTCAGCCCGCGAAGTAGCATCGCGGCCAATCTGTGCGACGACAGTCGCCAGATGGGGATTTTGACTGTCGATCAATGTCTTGCACGCTTCCTCCACGCGGTGAGAACAAATCAAATGAACGGCTCGTTCCACAGGTGAGCGAATCAAATCCAGGTTCTGGGAGTGCTTTTCACGAAGGATTCCCTCCCATAGACGTGTGAGGCGGTCCTTCTTAATCCGGTGCGCAAATTGCTGTCGTAGACGCGGCGGTACACCCGCTGAAATGTCGTCCTCAATGTCGTCATTAAAAAGAATGTTGAGAAGCTGCCACACCAAGCGCTCTTCCTCCGACTGGGAACGGGTAGACGGTGACAGAGGAAACTGCGACAGATCAACCTTGGCCATGCGAACAAAAGGAGAGCCGTCGATGCGCTGGATAGAGGACTGAAGCCGCTGGACGTCGAGCATTTCCTTAACCTGTATCATCATCAGCATCAAGTTCAAATGAACACCGTCAAACCACAAACGTACTTCGCTAGATTGATTGTAAGTCATCACTGCAATATCACGTTCCTCGCTAAAGACGGAGAAACTTTCTTTCCAGGTATGGTTCACCCCAAAGATTGTGTCCTCCATATCGTTTTTCGCGCAGACGAGGGAGTCCATAGGACCCCAGCGGGGTTTGAAGGAATCGTGGAAAGCGGCGTCAGATTCGCTCATTTGCGTTGCATCGCCAGCAAAAGTTTTTGGTTGCTTGTTGTAAGGCCACTAGGGTGAAGAAAAAAAGGTTTAGCTCAGGTTATCACATTGTTAAACTATCTGAGGAGTGATGTGCAATTTCATAGATACATGATGCAGTGACACAGGGAAGGAGACGAAGGGAATGATCATTAGTGTGAACATAAGGAAGGAATTCTAACCTCAAAGCCCTTTGGCGGTGCCTTAGAAGCCTTCAGCGGAGAAGGGGCAGCTTGCTTGCGCGGCTGCTGAAACAAAGAGTTCATAAGATCAATGCTGTTCGAGAAACCTTTCTTCGCAGGGGCTGTTGCAATGGTTGTAGGAGATTCATCGTTCAAAAGATTGCGGTCAATGAAAGCGTTTGCCTGCATTTCGCGCAAGGCATCACGGTTCTGCTTGCGAGGGCTGATGGTGCGCTGCAGCTGCTCTGCCCAGTCACCACTCAGATCAAGTTGAGGCTTTGCAGGGCTGCCAAAGTGTTTTGAGATAGGGTAAGTGGTATCCAGATCACTGTTGGTGCTCTGATAGTTGTCCCGCTCCACGGTGCGATGAGGAGTTGGAAAGGCTCCCGCCATATCCATTTCATCTGCCTCATCTGATCCAACTACCGAATCGCCAGACTGTTGGCTCTCGGTGACGACGTCATCGTCATTCTCAGTAGTCGAACCCGTGGAGCCTTCCTCTAAAAAAGACTCAGTTTCACCCTCAGAAAAGTAATCGTCCTCCACAGGCATGGCCTGACTCGCGAAAGAGCCAGGAACAAGCTTGCGCTTTTTGAAATCGAAGGTATCGTCCTCAACACCAATCATAGAACCGACGAAGGACTCGTCGATGGAGAAGGTGGTAGACTGATCGAAACTTGTGGACTGGTCGTAGTGAGCCCTGGGGGTAGGCTGGTCAGGGCCCTGTGCACCCATGGTGCCCTGGTCATGGCTCTCACCTTCCTCTTCATCGTAGTCAAGACCGTATGTAGTGAAATGAGGTACCTTAAAAACCCAGGTTCCAGTCTCAGTTTCGTAGTTGACGAACTCAGTGTCTCCAACTTTCTGCAGACGATCAATGTGTTTGTCGAACAGAGGACCGCTAGTGACAGGTGAGTTGCTCTTCCTATCTCTACCACGGGGCCAGGAGTTCTCAATCCGCAGGGTAGAGGGCACGTTCAGTCCTTTTCCTCTGGCAGGCTTGACCGATTCCTCAGGGTAGACAGTAATCTTGCGAAGACCAATGTCTACAATATTGGAGAAGAGGTTATCCAGATCAACGGCAGTCAGATCGACGGGGCCGTTGAAAGTGACAGA